CCTGTGTCCTTGCCCACACTCAAACCACACCCAAAAAAGCCTATGAAAAGGTACCAGGGGCATCTCATGGGGCCCCCTACTGACCAAGGGCCCTCGGGCAGTGCCCGAGTTCCCAAATGGTCAGTCCGTCCCTGCTTCTGGGTGTATTGGCTGCCTGGTATCTCTTGCACTCCGTGGTTCCTTCTTCCTGCAGAGACATAGAGGCCAATGTAGAAAAATTACAGAGTGTAACGGGGGATGCAAGCATCAGACATGTTCTGAAATTTAAATGCTGAACATTTATTAGCAAAGCTTGGACCTTCAAAGATGCAGAGTTTGACAGCATGGTCAGCAGGACAGGTAAGTATTCAATGCTTTCTGCGAAAGGGTAGCTTAGTTGGATTTAAAATAAAAAAAAGTGACAGAGTCTCTTTAACATGTTTTCCAGAGTCAAGCCAGCCAAAAAAATAAAAAAAGGAACATCCCCATCCTTTGCTGTATTTTAAGACATAATTGCCCAACAGCTGCATTTTCTGGGTAGAATTATGCAAATCAAGACTTTCTGTATGTTATACATTTTTCTTTAATATGTGCTCAGAGTCCTACAAAACCTATGAAGAACTAGTCATAAAATAAGTATTTCATTCTGCAGCACACAGTTATGGCCTGCTATAACACCCCCTCTTTTAACAGCCCAATTTGTCAAGAGGCAGCTGAAGTCATTAATGCTGTACCTGGCTTATAAGAGTCGTCCCTAATGATGAATGTGAATGAAGGGCTGAACGCTGCCCTGTGGGAATGTAGTGCTTTAATGCTAATCCTCTTTACTAGACAAAACACCTGTTCAGTCGAGCCAGTCAGGGGGTTCCCCATATTTAACCTTTTGATGCCCAGTCTCGCTGCTCAACGGGACATTTTCACTGCAAGTCCAGGTTATTTTTGCAGGTGTGCAGCTAAAGTCTTCGAGTTAGAGGCATAACTAGAGGTGTGCATAGGGCGGTCAGCAGGGGTAGATGTGGAGAAAAGAGAAGACACTATATTACAATGGATAAAAAATTATTGTCTGACAAGTATATCCAGTAGCTATTAGGTAGATATTAGGTAGATATTTGCCTTTCCTTTCCTCCTTGGGCACTCTATTCAGCTGGAAGGAGCAAATAAAATAGTACTTACAAGTATGGGGGACTATATGACTCACTCCTCTTATGTGAGTAAAGGATGCCCCGTGCAAGCTCTGAGTTGATCCAGTCACATAAGAGCAGTGAGTCACATGGTCCTCTAGTACTATTTTATTTGCTCTTGTCATCTGAATAGAGTGCCCAAGGAGGAAAGGAAAGGTAATTATCTGCTTCTGGGTAAAAGCACAGGTTTGACAAGATGGTTAGGCTAAATTTAGTTGTTGGCTTCACTGTAGTTAGTGGAGCAGTCATCTATTGTTTTTTGTCTGGTCAGGGTTTTCTAACCTGGATGTTTGATTTCACCTACCTGCTTCTGGGAGAAGTTTCTAGAATATAGGGGAGACAGATTCAAAAAACCAATTAAGAATATTTATCATGCCTCATCTAATCCCTGGAAGAGATGGTGGCTAGAAAGGTGATAAATGTTTGGGAGGCCTTCTCAGAGTGTTCTTTCCGCTGCTGAGAGAGGGTCCTAGTTCTTCTAGTGCTGCTGCCCCTGGGAAGAGGCTAGTATGAAAGAAGATCTGCAATTTGAGCCTCAGTAGTTGCTGGGCTGAGAACTTAAACTGGCCATAGATGAGTAGAAAACCGAACGTTCCTTTGACCCTAAAAATTAAAAAAAAAAATAGCTCATGCGATTATGCAAGCATTTGTTTTATTTTTCTAAAAAAAAAATAAAAAAACAAAAACCAGCATGTTGGATCAGTCACTTTCGATTACGGCACGGAAATAGCATATCACAGCTGGCACACTAATGATGCAAAAAACGAATGATTTGACAATCATTTGCCAATTTTTGCTGGAGGGCATCATTCTGGAGTGCTGGTCTGGAGAAGGTTCTCTGTCTCCCTCACTAAGAATGTCATGTGAATGCTGTATGGTAGTCAGCTCCAGGGACATTGTGAGCAAGACCTGATTTTGGGACTTTCATGTGTGCCTGAAGCTTTAGGATTTGTGATTAAAGGTTTGTCCTCCTATTGATTGCTACTATCGTTTTGGAGTATCCTGAAACCCTAGATGCCCTCCTGTTCAAGTTTCTCTGTAATAAAATTCACAAAAAGGCATCCCCAAGCCTGTATTGTCAATTTTCATGGGGCTGTGTCTGTAGCAAGTAGCCTCTGTACAGATCACTGAAAGGCTGAGCCACGTGTCGGGTGGATCCCGACCATATGGTTGTGATCTTTCTCCAGTCTGGACCGACTCTGAGACGTCAGCTGACAGCAGACAAAAGACTGCTGTCAGCTGAACGAACTGCACTCCTGTGATCCACAGGAATTGTACAACTAAATGAGTTTTGGCTGAACTTCTTTATCCGCCTCCCACCCGCCATATAAGGAAATGATGGGCTCAAGGTGGTTCTCTCATTCTGGGAGGATGTCATATGACGTCCTCCCAGTGTAACCGCCGGGGTGCGCAGCGCGGCGATCGGTGGTGCGCTGTTCGCATGTAAATAAGGAAATGACAGTTATCGGTATTTCTCTCCTCACGAGCTGTCATGCCTATGAGTGCTGCCAATCAGCGCCACCTATCAATGCCAGTCAGTGCCGCCTATGAGTACTGCCAATCAGTGCCACCTATCAGTGCCAGTCAGTGCCGCCTATGAGTGCTGCCAATCAGTGCCACCTATTAATGCCAGTCAGTGCCTCCTATGAGTGCTGCCCATCAGTGCCACCTATCAATGCCAGTCAGTGCCGCCTATGAGTGCTGCCAATCAGTGCCACCTATCAGTGCCTCCTATCAGTGCCCATCAGTGCCATCTAACTGTTCCAGTCAGTGCCACCTAACAGTGCAAGTCAGTGCCGCCTATCAGTGCCAGTCATTGCTGTCTATCAGTGCCGTCTATCAGTGCCATATATGAGTACTGCCTTTCAGTGCCCATCAGTGATGTCTGTGAATGCCCATCAGTGCCACCTACCAGTGACTCCATATCAGTGCCGCCTATCAGTGCCCATCACTGCAGCCTCATTAGCGCACATCAGTGAAGGAGAAAAATTACTGATTTACAAAATGTTATAAAAGAAACTAAGAAAAAAACTTTTTTTTCAAACCTCTTTTTTTTCAGTTGTTTTTGGTTTGTTTAAAAAAAAAAAAAAAAAAAAACCCAGTGGTGATTAAATACCACCAAAAGAAAGCTCTGTCTGTCTCAAAAAAATTAAAAAAATTTCATATGGGTACAGTGTTGCATGAGCGTGCCATTGTCATTCAAAGTGTGACAGCGCTGAAAGCTGAAAATTGGCCTGGGTAGGAAGGGGGGTAAAAGTGCCTGGTAGGCAAGGGGTTAAGTTCCTTTCCCAGCTGAGAACCGCTAGAACATTTGAAATGTGGGCAGACATTACTAACCTGGATTCTCATCTGCAGATAGCCTGAAGGTAAAGTGCAATGAGGTCAAGTGAGTCAATCTAATCCAGTCTGCTAAAACCAGTTTCTATGGAAGGCTATTTCATATTTTCATATCTCCTAATGAAGCCTTTGATGGCCTTAAAGTAAACTTGTCATAAGAGAAACATGAAAGCTGCCATTCATGACCTCTTCTTTTGAAAATTCTGGCTGCTTACCTATTATGCTGACCCACCAGTTTCAATAAATTCTTTCAGTGACCTGGCAAAATTATGCAGATTGGGACATTTGAGATGTCTCTGACTTCTTCTTCATGAGAAGATGCGTTCCTTGTCAGTACTGAAAAAAGTTTGGTAGCATAACAGCCATGCAACTGGCATTTTAGGAGCTTGCCCCCATTATTGTAGGACATTTCTATGATACTTAGCTGCATCGAGCGTACAAATACAGTTTTTTCTGTTTAAATCAGGGGCGGACTGACCATTTGGAAACTCGGGCACTGCCCGAGGGCCCGGGGTCAGTAGAGGGCCCCATGAGATGCTCCTGGTACCTTTTTCATAGGCTTTTTGAGTTTGGGCAAGGACACAGGGGCCCCATGATCCCCTATTGCCCGGGGGCTCCATGAGTTGTCAGTCCACCCCTGGTTTAAATACAAATATTTAATACTGAAAAGCACAGGATTTAGCCTAAGAACATTAATTTTTTTTGTCTTATTTGCAAAGAACAAATGTAGATGAACGTTCAATGAGCAAATGGCTATACAAATTCTTTATAAACCAACCCCTTTAAGTAAGAAGATCAACTTCCTCCATTATCGCCTCTTTTCAAGGGTAGATAACTTCCAATCAACCTGCTTTTCCGTGAAGCTAAGGTCCTTCATGCCATTTAATTATTTAGTTGGGGCATATTTATGTTTCTATATCTCGTTGGACTATGTCTGTACAAGGAAGCTTTGGATGCTGCACATTGGCATTGCATGCTGGTTTTTAGTCTATGATCTTTACAAGATCTTTGAAGCATATGGACTTTGGTCATCCAGGGCTCGAAGACACTGGTGCTGGGGCATAAAGTTATTTTTGAAGGCTTTACAGAAACAAAGGTTAAGAGCACATCAACAAAATGGAATTCACTCTCAGAACACTTCAGCAACATGTAAATATAAACCATGTAACCTAAGTCTGTAAGATGTGTAAAGTGTATGTAGACCCTAACAATAATTCCCTTTTTTTGCTTCTTTTGGTCTGTTAAATATACACTTTGCTACTGCTGTTCTATTAACTACTTGCCAACCGCAGATAGCCGAATGACGGCTACACTGCGGCTGGCCAGTTCCGGGGAGGCGTCATATGACGTCCTCCCAGAACGCGCTCTCCTGCGCGCCCCCGGCGATCTCCATGATCGCTGTGTCCTATGGACACACTGATCACGTGATGTGGTAAAAGGCCAATCACAGCGGCCTTTTACCACGTGATCAGCCGTGTCCAATGACACGCTGATCACCGGGAAATGCAATTGCCGGTTCTCGGCTGCACTTTCCTCACGCTGTCAGAGTGTGAGGAAAGTACTGCCGAGAGCCGGCAGTTGTCAGAGCGGGGATCGGCACCGATCATCAGGGCACTGATGATCAGTGCCCTGATGATTGGTGCCCAGCAGTGCCACCCACCAGTTCCGCCCACCTGTGCCCAGCAGTGCACCCTCCTGTGCCTAGCATTGCCACCCACCTGTGCCCACCAGTGCCACCCACCTGTGCCCAGCAGTGCACCCTCCTGTGCCCAGCAGTGTGCCCACCTGTGCCCAGCAGTGCACCCTCCTGTGCCCAGCAGTGTGCCCATCTGTGCCCAGCAGTACACCCTCCTGTGCCCAGCAGTGCGCCCACCTGTGCCCAGCAGTACACCCTCCTGTGCCCAGCAGTGCACCCACCTGTGCCACCCAGCAGTGCCAAACACCTGTGCCCAGAAGTGCCACCCACCTGTGCCCACAAGTGCCACCCACCAGTGCCCATCAGTGCAGCCCAGCAGTGCTGCTAGTCAGTGCCCAGCAGCTGTGCCAGTCAATGCCTAGCAGTGCCGCCAGTCAGTGCCCAGCAGTGATGCCAGTCAGTGCCACCTTTCAGTGCAGTCTATCAGTGCCACCTATCAGTGCCGTCTATCCGTGCCACCTCATTAGTGCTGCCTATCAGTGCCGCCTATCAGTGCTGCCTATCAGTGCCCATCAGTGCTGCCTATCAGTGCCCATCAGTGCCGCCTATTAGTGCCCATCAGTGCTGCCTCATCAATGCATATCAGTGAAGGAGAAAAATTACCTGTTTGAAAAATTTTATAATAGAAACAAAGAAACTTTTTTTTTTTTCAAATTTTTTGAAGTTTTTTTGTTTATAGCGCAAAAAGTAAAGTGCCCAGCGGTGATTAAATACCACCAAAAGAAAGCTCTATTTGTGAGAAAAAAATGATAAAAATTTCATATCGGTACAATCTTGCATGACCGTGCAATTGTCAATCAAAGTGCAACAGCGCTGAAAGCTGAAAATTGGCCTGGTAAAGAAGGGGTATAAGTGCCCGGTAGGCAAGTGGTTATTACAAGAATATGAAGAATCCTGCCAGAAATTCAGTGTTCTCCTGTATCTAGTGCACTCCTCCCAATGACAGCAAACACTCTGCTGTTATCATTTTTTTCTGCAGTTTCTCTCCCTCACTCCTGGATTAAGATCAACTCCTCCACTCAGATTCTCCTTCTCCTTCTTTCTCCACTCAGCGATGAAAGCAAATGGACAAAGCTGGTGCTTTAACCTTAAAGTATAACGAAGATTGGCCATACATTATACAATTTTCCTGAGATTTTTGCTTTAGATTTACCAAAAACCATATAATATGAGGTCAAACCTAACAACACTTTCAATTGTATCTAATCAGGCAGGCTCTTGCACTACATATTGGAAGGTAAATCTAAAGGAAATTGGGCAAAAATTGGTCAAAAAAGCTGGAAGAAAATTGTATAGTGTGTGGTCAGCCTAAATACAAAACATTTTTTTTAGTTTTGGAGTGGAGATGAATTAGAACATCTGTCAGTTTTTACTGCTTCCTGTGCGCCCATTAAGGAGATTCACCCTCTCTATTTGTTCTGTTTACCATTATCATTGAAAATGAAAGTAAATGAAAATCCCAAATTTTGAGTTGTCCCCAGAAAAGTAATAGAGGCGAAATCTTCCAATGGGAACACTAGTTTTGGTGACTTGAGAGTCCCCAAGGTATTCCATTAATTTGCAGGGATTTTCTCTCACTTCCTCTTTGGCTATGGGACAAGAAATGAAGGGAAATCTCCGCAATGGAACACAGATGGTGAAAAATAAAAATCTGACAGGGGTTATAACCCTCCTACAGACTGGCCATACACTATACAATTTTCTTAAAGATCTCTGCTCAATTTCCTTTAGATTTACCTTCCACTATGAGGTGCAAGGGCCTGCCTAATTAGATACAATTGAAAGTGTTTAGGTTTTACCTCATATTATATGGTTTTTGGTAAATCTAAAGCAAAAATCTCAGGAAAATTGTATAGTGTATGGCCAGCCTTAGGCTGGCAGTACATTATATAATTTTCTTGAGAAAGTTGCTTTAGGCTGGCCATACACTATACAATTTTCTGTCCAAATTCTGCCCAATTTCCTTTAGATTTACCTTCAACTATGTAGTGCAAGAGCCTGCTTAATTGGATATAACTGAACGTGTTTGGGTTTGACCTCATATTATATGGTTTTTGGTAAATCTAAAGCAAAAATCTCAAAAACTTGTATAGTGTATGACCAGCCTTAGATTTACCAAACACTATATAGTATAGTATAGAGTTCCAACTTAAACAACACTTTCAATTGTATCCAATTAGGCATTCCCTTGCACTACATGGTTGAAGGTAAATCTAAAGGAAATTGGGCAGAAATTGTAAGAAAATAGTAAGAAAATTGTATAATGTATGGCCAGCCTAACTATCCAAATTGAAAAAAAAAAGTTTTGCCCATAGTTCTACTGTAAAACACTTTATTGTCTTATACATAGAGTACAGAAAACCACTCACATCTTACTGAGGCTCCATCCCACCAGATACAACCAGCGTTGTGGTGCTATTCATTGTAAATGGCACTCTAACTCACCAAGGCAACGCACTACCAAAAAAGAGTCATGTACCATTTTTTACATTTAGGGTGCGCTGGCAACCTATTCTTGTCCATGTGCTGCCTTAACGCAAAGCCTATTAACATGTGACATAACGGGGGAGGTTTACTAAAACTTGTGCACACAGAATCGGGTGTAGCTGTGCATAGTAACCAATCAGCTTCTAACTTTTGTTTGTTCACTAAAGCTTTGACAGGGATCCCTGATGAAGTCATGTGGTGCGTGATGTAATGTGTAGGACGATAGTGTGGTGATGCTGGGACATGCGATGCTGTATGAGGGTTTGTGAGCCCTTCATTTTATGTGAGTGCGTTTCTTTTATTTCTCAATTTTTCATTAAATAATTTATTACACTATGGGGAGCCTTCTTTGCTTTATTTGAGCATACATCTGCCCTAATGACCTATTGTAGAGGATCCTCACCGACCTGGTCATGCTGAAGGATATTGACAGAGCACATATTGATCTGTAGTATCTATAGGTGGTGGTGGACACAGTGGTGGACCAAGTAAAAGACCCACTATATCACCAAGTCTTGCTGAATTTTTGGGACTTATTTATTTATCTATTCATTTATTAATTTTCATATATTCATACACTGGACTTTCATTATCAATGTTTACTCTTCAACAATTTAGCAGCCTTTTATGCTGGAGGAGCAGCCAGGTCTTTACTGATATATTTGTATTGTTATATGTTTTGTTGAGCACTTCATTTATATCTCCGAGGATTGTTGGTTATCAAGAACCAGTTTTTGTACTTTAATCACTGTTATGTGTGGTTTTGCACGGCTTTTGTTAATCAGTCGACCGGGTGTTTATTGATTCATTATATAGGTTTTTACATTATTTATGCACTATTTTCTATATTTTTATTATTATAGTTGTGTTAGAGGGTCAGCAGTCACTATACCTGGTCTCCTATAGTATACAGAACATGGAAATACAATTATTTTAGTAAATATAAAGTGCTAAATACTTTTTCTCATCAGCAGTATAAAGCAGTCTTGACTTTTATCAGTGTCCGCCCAAGCACTGGTTAATCTTGTAGGAGGAGTTTTGATTTTCCTCTGACTGTCTTATGAGGCTGCATAACCCCTGACCCTCTGTCTGAACATTACCAATTGGCCCTGTGCTGATCACATACACCCCTCCCCCCCCAAAGGAACAGAAAAAAACTCTCTAGCAATGTATATCAAACTGAGCATGTGCAGAGTGACTCCGGAAGCTCTGTACTAACAGCAAATGGATTGGGAGCAGTAGAAGTAGGGGAGGATCAGAAAAGGCAGGATCAAACAGCCTTTTTACACAATGTGGAGGATTAACCCCTTAGGTTCCACAGTGAGTATAACAAGCATGCTTTACTGCATACACAGACTGATTTTACTGTTGTGGGTTTAGTAACACTTTAAGTGAGTTTGTTGCTATGTCACAAGCTACACTTAATATTTTATTTTTTCTCCTTTTTTTTGCTTGCTTCATTATTTCGCTAGCGATTGTTTGTGTATATGTTAGACCCTCTGGTAGATGTTTCATCAAATTTATTGGTTTATATAGAGCAGCGCAGCACTAATTTTGTATTGTTATTGTGTAGAAACACTTTTGGATGCTTTCAGCCGCAGTGTATTTTTATTATCTTTATCATTTTTGGCAACACATAAGAATCCTCCCACTTATATCTCCAACTTGTGTTCACGATGTTATCTCTTGTCACTGATATAAAGAAATAAACAATCTGCCGACATAAATAAAGTGAAATAAAAAACAATTTAATATAATTACACTAACAACTACTAAATCGTCCATGTGTATCAAGTGTGATAATATGAATATATACATCAACCATTGATAAAATCAATAAATCCATAACTAAAATATAATAAATCTCATGCACTAATAGTCCAGCACTGCAATCTTCCATGTTTACGTTTGAGCAAGAAACTAGCCGTATGCCGTGATAAAGTATCTAAACATGAAAAAATGCCACTGTTCTATGATCCTACACCTTCTACAGCACCTGATTACCTATTGATATGACCTACTGCACAGGTCAATATGCACCTTGCCCTTTAAGCTGGGGCACTTTAATCCCAGGTGTAACAGTCTCCTCTCCATCCGTAAGAGCCATCACACCACACACCAGCTCCTCTCTACGTCAGCAAGGTTGGCTCAAGAGAAAAGATAGCTCTCGGTGTGCAATATATTAATAAAAATGTACAAATGTATTTAATGGGTTGGGGCAGGGAGTTCCAGAGGATGGGTGACACCCTGGAGAAGTCCTGGAGGCGGGCATGGGAGGAGGAGACCAGGGAACTAGAGAGACGGAGGTCTTTTGAGGAGCGGAGTGTGCGTGCTGGGTGGTACACAAATAATGTGCACTGTATTCCAATGCACTCAGATATAATACATCCTAAAAGCTGTATTACTCACTTAAAGCGGAGTTTTAGGTCAAAAAACAAAAGTCAGCAACTACAAAAAACTGTAGCTGCTGACTTTTAAAAACAGCCACTTACCTGTCCCTCAGTCCCGTGGTGTGTCCCCTGCAGCCCGTTTTACAGGCCGTCCTGTATTCCAGGAGGCCGGCATCTTCAGTGTGGGCACCCGGCTGTGACAGCTTGCGGCTTCACAGCTGTGTACCCACTGCGCATGCACAAGTAGTGCTGCACTTTATGAATGGTCCTGTAGTCTTCTGGGACCTGTCACATGTCCTACAAGACTACAGGGAGGGGGGGGGGAGGACAC